GAGAGAGAGAGAGAGAGAGAGAGAGAGAGAGAGAGAGAGAGAGAGAGAGAGAGAGAGAGAGAGAGAGATTACAGGCAGAGGTTACATCGGGCATTGGAGCCCAGGATCTGATTTGACATTGTGAGGCAGACATTGATTGGACATTCCGCTGGGAGACTATTTTTGGACTTCGCTATCGCGATCTTGGTCTTCTCCCTCCTCACCATCTTCATCTCGCCTCTCCCCCATCTTCTCATCTGTGGTATCTCCCTCGTGTGCGTGTTCAAGGAGGGACCTTTCTTCCATGTATGTGGTCCCTCCTCCCTCTCTCACATGTGTGGTGTATGATGGGGTGTCACGTCGGTATCTGCCAGGTCAGTTCATATCTTTGAGTCTTCCGCTGCGCTATATTGTGCTATTTTCGTATGTATCTGGATGTACCTTCCCTGTTGATGCTTTGCTGACACTGCATTGTCCATCCATTCGAGTCCTTTTCATCGCTTTGTGGATCCTTGGCGCCACATTCATCGCTTTACTGAGCATGTGTCACTTTACCTTTTCCTTGCCTCCCTCCTTCCCTGCTCTGCCATGTCGTCTTCTTCTTCTCCTCCTCCTTTCTCCTTCCTCTGCTTCTCTCTTTCTGTCTTCTTTCTGCTTTTTTTTTTTTTTTTTTTCGCGTTTTTCACTTTTATTTTCGGAAAGGAACAGCACTCAGAATCCTCTGCCATCGATTTTAGAAGGATGAAGAAGAGTTTTTTTTTTTTTTTTTTTTTTTTCGGGTCAAATCCTCTATGATTACAGCAACGGGTCTCACTTCTGATGCGTTTACACAGCGTACCGGTCTGCTTTTCCGTTGGCTTTGATTTTGTGAAATGGTTTCTGGGCTTAAACCACCACTACCTTTCACAGGCAAACGCAAAGTCCATCTAGTAGCCTACTCCTGAAAACATGGGGCTCGGGGCAGGGTGGGAGGCGGACGAAAAAAAAGAAAAAAAAGAAGGAAAAAAAAGAAAGAAAACGAAGAGTCCCCACTCCAGGGATGTCGGGAAAGGCCCTCATGAGGGTGGAAGTTATACCAGTGCTTGGACGAATGTATCTGACCACTATGTCGGAAAAGGGATTGCATGTCGTTTTTCTTTTTCTTCTGTTTTGAAATCCTTGTAGTGCCCTGCCAGCCAGGCAGGGCGTGTTTCACGGGTGGTACGTAACTGTCTCACTGCTGTAGCATCATGTATCTGCCCTCAATCACAGGAAAAGGGATTCCTTCTTTTTTTTGTTGTTGCTTCTCTGTTTTTTCCCGTACACGCCCTCACTGAGGGCACAGTCACACAAGCACCTCATAGAATGTATCTGGTGGTTATCAAGGCATTCGGGAAGTCTCTTTTTTTTTTTTTTTTTTTTTCTTTTTTCCCTTTCTTCTTTCTTCAATGAAACTGCCCCGGCTTGGCCAAACTCCGTGTGCAGTGAAAATCAGGGTCGGCAAAAANTTTTTTTTCTTTTTTTTCCCCTTGTTCTTTCTTCGATGAAACTGCCCCGGCTTGGCCAAACTCGGTGCGCAGTGAAAATCAAGGTCGGCAAAAACAGGTTCGGAGGTAGTGGTGGTTTAAGGAAAAAACAACAACAACGGCTGTAACTGTTTGTTCTTGGTGCGTTTTCTGGCGTTTTTTTTTTTTGTTTGTTGCTTTTGTTTTTTCCTGGCAGAAATCGCTTTTCTCTGGGGGGGAAAAGTCAATGTCAAGATGCCAGTTGCGTTTTTTTTTTTTTTTTTTGTTTGCTTCTCCTCTGCTTCTCTGTTGGCTCTGACTTTGAAATCGTTTCTGGGGTTAAAAAAAGAAACAATGGCTGTAACTGTTCGTTCCTGGTGCATTTTCTGACTTCTTTTTTTTTTTTTTGGTTTTATATGGCAGAAATTGCTTTTCTCTGGGGTTAAAAAATCGGTGTCAAGATGCCAGTCGCGGCATCTGCAATCTATTTTCTAAACCTTCGCGGCGATGTGCTCATCAATCGCATGTACCGGGACGATGTCGGGTGAGTACTTTTGGTCAAAGGAGTCTTGCGGCTCTTGCCTGGAGAATATTTGTTTGTTGTTAACTTGTTATTATCTTTTTTGGCTTAAACAGAAAAAAACGAGTCTCTCTGTTTGGTTGGCCTACAATGTTTCGGTTTGTTTTTTTGGCTTAAAAAAAAACTTTTTCTTTTAACATGTCCATTTCGCAATTGTTTTTTTTTTTGGGGGGGGGGGGGGTTAAGCAGTCGATCAGCTGATTCTTACCCGGAGAATGTCTGTTCCTTTTTTTGGCTCGAAAAGATAAAAAGCTTCAAAAAAGTCTTTTTGTATTTTTTTTGGCTTGCCACGTGAACAGGTGTTTCCTTTTGCACTCGCGCTCAACTTTCAGTATTTCACGTGTTCTTTTTTTAAACTTTTGTTTAAAAATTATTTGTGTATTTGTGTTTTATAGGGACACGGTGAGGAGAATGGAGAAGAACATTACTGAGTGCATACTCTCACTAGCAATTTCCTTGATGTATCTGACTACAATTATGGCCCAACCGTGGCCTCATTTTTCAATCTATTAATGAAATGTACCATAATATTTGTCATCATAATCACATTCTGGCAATCGCATGTCGTGCCCACGTGTCATTCCGCGTGGGCGTTTAGACTGTCCACTTCTATACACTGGAAGGAGTGCACCCCAACAACACCCCCTCTTCCTCCTCCCCTGCCCCTTACTCCCCCTCCTCTTCCCAGTAAGCCTCCACTCCTGGTGTCATTATAAACACAGGTGGCAGTCACTTGTCATGCTGTGGAATGCTCGCATCGTGGTAGCGCCTTGTGCGTGGAAAAGCAACGACGAAACCCTCCTGAAGCGACCGACCTCGCTAAGCCTTTTTGGTAGGGGAGACGATGCTGAACCTGGTGAGGATAACGAAGCCGACACAAAAGCTTTCGAGTGTGTGTGGCAAATGTATCAATTTTATTTATTTATTTTTTGCCAAAATTTACGACCATTTCTCGATTTATGCGTGTCATCCTTGCGCAGGGCCCATGCTAATCTTCTCTGTAGCGTTTCAATTTTAATGGATGTCCCGAAGGACAAATGCATTGATTTCTTGGGAGTGCTTGTTTCTGCATTTTGAAACAATCATGAGAAGATTGCAAGCCCAATTTTTTAAATATATTTTTTATTTTTTTATTTTTATTTCTTTTAATCTGTTGTCTGCCGCTTGTTTAGATTTCTGTTTTTCTCTGCTGTGTAAGCAGAGCTCTTCTGTAGCAGATACACAGGTTGCAAACAAATGTTGCAGACCGACCGAATACCGAATAGCGGCAATCGAAAGAAGGAAAGATAAAGTAAAATTCGCAGCCTGGCCTTCCAACACACTGGTGTTTTCTCTCCCTTTGATGGGAACCGAACCTTTAGAGAAAACAGAGGGTTGCTTTGCTTTCAGCATCCTACACGATTTGAACCCATGACCTTTAACTTGCTGTGTGTTGAAAGAAGGGCTGCTGTGGATTTGTCTGCCTTCAGCTCCTGCACTTCATGTTCAATCTCCTCAACAGTTTCGTTCTGCTGACGCTTGTTGTTATACCCTCCTTTTTTTCCGTCTCTTCTGTTTTTTTTTTTTCTCTCTCCGCCAGGGGGAATATGGTCGATGCGTTCCGCACGCACATCATGCAGACAAAGGATCTTGGGACGTGCCCGGTTCGGCAAATGGGATCGTGTTCGTTCCTGTACATGCGGATAAGCAACGTCTATATCGTGATCGTTGTCAGCAGTAATGCGAATGCAGCGTGCGCCTTCAAATTTATTGTGGAGGTTGGTATGGATTACTTTGACATTTTTTCTGCTTAAAAAATAAAAGTTAGTCCTTTTTTTTTTTTTTTTTTTTTTTTTTCGCAATTATCCTGTACGAGAGAAGATCTTAATTATTTAAACCGCCGGTATGAGGCAAGCCTATGGGGAATGAAATGAGTCGGCAGGGGGCAGGCCCAGGCGTGAATGGTCCAAAACATCGGGGAAAGCCTCGATTGGCCTTTGGTGTACTTACTGTAGGCGGTTTAAACCGCTACCGTCTTCCCCCGAACGTAACGCACACTGATAATCAATGCATGGAAGCTATCGTTCCGGTGTGGTTCTTGGCTGGCGCTGCCTGCCATTATGGTCCAGTAGGCTCGACACGTGAAATTTTTGAAGCAGGCGACCGACATTTTTCTGCAAGGCTGGGGTGGTGTTCTACCGTCTTCCCCCGAACAAAACGCACTCCAAGCCCGGGTGTACTGGTGGTTTAATAAAAGGGCCCAAAGGAATGTGAACCAAGCCCTGAAGCACACCGATTATGAAATGATGCAGCAATCGTTGATGCACAAGTGAACGGCGAGTTCTTTTCCGATGCAGCACACCGATTATGAAAGGATACAGCAATCAATCGTCGACCCACAAGTGAACCAGTCAGTTTGCTCCAATGCGACCATAAATACGCCGCATCTTCGGAGCTCGGCCTACCAGACGGAAAGATCTGGCAGTGCCAGGCAAAACAAAACAAAAAAGAGAGCCCGCACGGACTCTTTTTTTTTTTAATTACTGCCCAGCAGAAATCCATGTCGGGAAAGAGAGGCTCTGAAGTACTGCCGGTTTAAAGCACTAGTCTTCCCCCGAACAAAACGCACGTGCGTTATTTACGAATAGAATGCATGGAGTGCGTTGTATTTGTATACAACGCACATGCGTTATACTACGGATATAGGGTATCAACTTCTGAAAACGCCCCCCCCCCCAAAAAAAAAAAAAAATTAAAGTATATGCCTCGAACAGGTACCTCCAGTCTGCCCGGAAACAGGACCTTCAGCTAAGAGGGGGGGGGAGGAGAGAGAGAGAGAGAGAGAGAGAGAGAGAGAGAGAGAGAGAGAGAGAGAGAGAGAGAGAGAGAGAGAGAGA